GACAGTTCAAGCCTATCACATTCTTCTCGATCTTTAACATGACTTCCACACAGCAGCAACCAAAGGAAAATGACTCAAACTTGGTTTTTATAAATATGGCATCCTGAAGGGATTTTGAATACTCTTTCTCATCTATCTCTTCTAGCTGCCTTCTAAGTTGAGAATTGAGAATTTTCTTATGAGAATTGAGAAATAATAAGAAAATAGTCTGAAAATGAGTAATTACTAGGAGGGCAAAACAATTGATTTTGTGAATTAAAGTGCAGGTAAAAAGCAGACACTTCTATAAAAGTTACATGAGCTCTTAAGTATCCTCAGTGGAGCTTTAAAGAAAAGTATCTTTAAAACTTCTCCCTAATGCTACTTAAACAATGTATTTCCCAATTTGTTTCTGATTGACAATACAAGAAAGAGACAAAGAGTGTGACTTCAGTATGAAGCCACCATGCTGCCAAGAATATCATTCAATCACATGAATGAAGGCACACTTTTCAGAAATGACTTTCTCCTGAAATTCTCATTATCAGTAAAGAAGACCCTGGAAGGGGACAGAACTAGTGACCCCAGATAAGGAAAGAGAAAACACCACTATCTCTTCAACAGAGGAAATTAAGAGACACTGCAAATAAATACTGGAAGTGTTATCTGAGGACTGCAAGAAACAACTATGATATTGAATACACATATACACACGCAAGTACACGTGCACACAAAAAGTCAGGAAAATGGATGTCTCTAAAAGAGATTAAACAATGAGTGACAATATATTAACAGCTGTTATTATGCTGCCCCATGTATGCTGTCTGGCTGGGGAAAAAATATCAAAAACACAATAATTTAAAAACGAAATATAAAGACAGATAAAACCGTCTTAGAAAAGCAAGGAAAAACTGTCAGAAAAGAAAAAATCTGTAGTTAAAAAATATATTTGGTCTTGTATTTTTAAAAATTAAGTTATTAACAAAAGTTAAACATAGCTTCTCCAGTGAATATTGAGAATTAAAAATCTCTATGTTAAATGTAATTCTCCAGCAAGTCAATTACTATGAGTTTGTTTCATAAGGCCTGTAATAAGTGGGCCTTTTGAGACAAATGAGGAAATGGGGATTTGATATGGTTTGGCTGTGTCCCCACCCAAATTTCATCTTGAATTGTAGCTCCCATAATCCCCACATGTCATGAGAGGGACCCGGTGGGAGGTAACTGAATTGTGGGGACGGGTCTTTCCCATGCTGTTCTCATGACAGTGAATAAGTCTCAAGAGATCTGATGGTTTTATAAAGGGCAGTTCCCCTACACAAGCTTTCTTGCCTGCTGTCATGTCAGACGTGATTTGCTCCTCCTTTGCCTTCCGCCATGATTGTGAGGCCTCCCCAGCCATATTTATAAAGGAACCTCTTTCCTTTATAAATTACCCAGTCTCAGGTATGTCTTTGTTAGCAGCATGAGAACAGACTAATATAGGCTTGAGATGATAACATGGGATTATACTCAACATGTATGCTCACAGAAAATATTAAATAAGACCAATCAGATCAAGAATTCAAGTTCTCCAGATGAAAGACACCGCCAAAGCAACAACCTTCCATTCTACAGAATTACTGTTACCACTTTAGAGCACAGATTAATTTCCAAGAATAAAATAATAGTTAGATTTATTTAGAGTAAGTAGATTTCTTCAGATAGATAGATTTCTAATATACATAAAGTGGGACTTCTTTAAGTAGGTAAGAAATATTAGTATTAAAATATTTTAAAAAGTTAACCCAAATACATTCCAAGTATGTTTTCAAGAGTAATCAGAAATTTTAAGTTGGCATTTTGGAGCAGGAAAGACACGCATATTCAACAAGAGAAGAAAATCAACCTATACAGAGATTATGTCCAAAAATTAATTTATGCAGTTACAAAATGTGTATAAAATTTGTCGTTATCCTATTTGAATAAAAAGTTAGAATATTTTTGTTATGTTTGTATTTCAAAGATGCTGACTACAACTCTGGTAGAGTTATGCCTGAAATGAGTATAATGTCTTCATTAATATTCTGAGAATATTTATTCACTAAAAAAAAAAAAAGTCATACATAGAAGTCACATGTATCAGGCAAGGTGAAAAATAAACCATTGTCCCTTCAAATATCAAACTGCATTTTTGCTGACAAGATAAAAAACACTGAAATATGCACAAGGTGGCATGTACTTATCAAGGCAGGCTTTTAGAAAACACACCAAAACTTCCCTTACTCTACCAATTCACATCACTCAGACGGCATGTCTGTCTTCACAGCCAGCTGGCAAACTCTTCAGAAGCAGACCTTTTACTTGTTGAATTGTGTCCCCCAAAATGGTATGTTAAGTCCTGACCGGTAGTACCAGTGAATGAAACTATATTTGGAAATAGGGTCTCAGCATATGTAATTAAGATGAGGTCATTAGGATGGGACCTAATCCAATCACTGGTGTTCTCATAAACCAAGGGAAATTTGAGCACACAGACACAGAGGGCTATGTGAATAGACTGGAGTCATGCTGCCTCAAGCCAAGGAAACCCTGGGGTTCCTCTCCTAGAGGCTTTAGAGAGAACAGAGCCCTGCCTATACCTTAACTTCCAACTTGCAGGCTCCAGACTGCATGAGAATAAATTTCTGTTGTTTTAAGCCACCCATTTTGTGGTACTTAGTTATGACAGCCCTTGAAAACTCATACCCACTCTCAGTCATCACGTTATAGAGATGTGAGGAGCAGGGCAGAAGACAGGGTGTAAGTAGACATCATTTTTAGACTGATTTGGGCTATTAGTTATCTCTTAAAGGATAAACAGAGCCATGGATTCAGAAATTTCCATAAAGGTTTGCTCTTCTTTGGTGTCTGTCCCTTTCCATATCCCACTGAGAAAAGTACCTCATTTCTCAATTTCTCAGCAGAGAAATGCTCCTGCCTCCTAGTGAAAAGGAAGATATTAAAATAACATATAAATACATCACAGAGACTAAAACAAGAAAGGCTGATAACTTGGCATAAGTAATACAGTGTTCTAGATAAGAAAAAAATTCTCTGCCTCTAGGCATAAGAATTATGGTAGAATTAAAATGTTTCACCCAAAGCTTCAAGCTGCATTTATATTCCTGGGTAAGATGGGAAAACATGCATTGAAAATGAAGGCCTCCAATACATCCAGGAGTCTAGTAGATTGATTTGTTTAAGTGAGGGCAGTCAATTCAGTTTTTGGAGGACTAGATGCACCATCATAAAACTAACAATAGTGCTATTAACATAGACTAATTAAGCATAAGTCGTACTCCTTGGCATTTAGGAGTAAAAATGTGCTCATTCAAAATCTTAAGTCTAACAATGTAGCAAAAGGAATATCTTTTGACCAGAAATCTTTCTTTGTAACTCATGACAAGGATCATAATTTAGATCAAAAACTAAAAAAAAATAATCAAAAAATAGCGAAAATTGAATTGTGTAGAAAAAGAGAACTAAAACTCCAGGACATCTTAGGTGTGTCAGAAAAATTCTAATATATTTCAATACAACTGCCATCATCTCCTAAATTTAGAAAATTACTGCAGTTTCACAAGTATGGATTATTCACAAATTTTTTTTCCTCTGCTGGGTAAAGCTGTCTAACTCAGGTTAATTTGGGGAAACCTGCTTTTTCCAGATGGAGAGCAGACGGTAAATATAAGACACTAAACTCAAAGCCATGCGATATTTATCTTCATGTGGAGTGCAAGAGCTGTTAGCCTCTAAGCCGACTTTGAACTATTTCTTAAACCAGCCTTCTACTGTGGAATTCTCCACACTGCTCCTAAAATGTCATGTTTCTCTGCAGCAGCCAACCGGTGTTACCCAGAAAGTCTGCAATAGAGTCAAGAGCAAACCTAGTTCAATCACCTTCCCTGCTGTAGACAAAACAAAATAATAGTATATAGTAGTACATCCTATGTCTTTTACTGCATCAAACACATACCTAATTGAGCGCCTAAAAGCTTATCAGTGTTCCAGATTAGTTGAAGAAATTCTGCACTATAAATCCGTGGACATTTTGTACCTCCAGCCAGGAACTATTCACCTGCCAAAATGCTGATTAATTAAGGGACTATGGGTCATATTTCTAGTCTTCTTACTTGTTGATAGGCAGCCATGCCCCAAGTTTCTTTTACATGCTCAAAGCCAATGTCTTGGGAAATACTGTTTGGAGACTGCCCATCTCCAAACAGTGACACAGACTAAACCAGAGATGTTTCCAAGGGAGAATTAACAACATTAACAGCATTAATAACCAGGGCAATACTATTAAAATATAATCCGCATTAAAACTTGCAACCAAGAAAATCTGGTGGGGAAACTCAATGTCTCCATTTTAACCTAGTATTCTCAATCCAGCTTGAATACTGAAATCATCTAAGACAGTCTTTTAAAATGCTGATGCCAGATTCCACCCTCCACCCTCTTAATCTAAATCAGTGGGAGAGCAACTCAGACACTGGGATGTTTCAAAAGCTCTCCAAGGTAATTCCAATGGTCAACTATAGTTGAGAACCACAGATACACAGCAGAGTCAGCAAACTTGTTCTACAAAGGGTCGTATCATAAATATTTCAGTCTTTGTGGGCCACTGAGCCTTTGTCACAGCTTCTTAAGTCTGCTGTTATGGCACAAAAGTAGCCACATATATATGTAAATGAATTAGTATGGCTGTGTTCCAATATAGCTTTATTTCTGAACACTGAAATTTGAATTTTTATAACTTTTCTATATCACAAAATATTCTTCTTTGACTCCTTTTCAATCATTTCAAAATGTAAAAACTATTCTTAGCTTACAGGCCATTCAAAAACAAATGGCAGGCCAGATTTGGCACAGCTGTAGCTTACTGACCTCTGTTCTATACTGCAGATTGAATATACTTCTACTTCATTCTTTCTCAAAACCATGTGCTCAGTGACTCACTCAACCAGTCCTTGAAAAGGTCCCCTTCAAAACATGGATACCTTCAGATTCAAGTTGGTCCAGGCCATATGAGGCAGCTGTATTAACTCGAGTAATAGATGGAACAACAGTTCTTCCCTCGGAGGACGTCTCAGAAGCAGGAAGTGCAGAGAAAATGCTGGGTTCCCCCACCATTATTCCAGGGGGTGTCACTGGAGATCCCAGAACTGGTGTGAACTCCTCATTTGTCCCTGTGACTGTGTCCACTTGTTCTGCCAAACACAACAGATAGGACTTGACCCACAAGATAATCATTAAGACAAATGTAAGCATGTACTTTCTTTTTTTTTTTTTCGAGACAGGGTTTTGTTCTTGTTGCCCAGGCTGGAGTGCAATGGTGTGATCTCGGCTCACCACAACCTCTGCCTCCTGGGTTCAAGCAATTCTCCTGCCTCAGCCTCCTGAGTAGCTGGGATTATAGGCATGTGCCACCATGCCTAGCTAATTTTGTATTTTAGTAGAGACAGGATTTCTCCATGTTGGTCAGGCTGCTCTCAAACTCCCGACCTCAGGTGATCTGCCAGCCTTGGCCTTCCAAAGTGCTGGGATTACAGGCATGAGCCACCATGCCCAATCTGTGCTTTCACTTTTTAAGCAAGAAATGATTAAACCAATATCATATAATACAGTAAGTTTGGCCCTTGGGTCAGCTCTCCTTTCCCATATTGCATTAATCCAACTCCCCAAAGCAAAGACTCTCAGGAAAATGTATTATCTCCCAGGAAAATGTATTATCTCAAATCAGAACCTTGTTAAATTTTAATCTCCCATTTACTCTACTGACGATATTATGGATATTGCAAGATTTTATATAATGTATTGTCAAAGGTAAAATATTTTTTAATATATAGTAAAATATATTTCAAAGACTACTTTTGAAAGACCAAGTGTCTTTCTCAAACTCAAGTCTTAGAGTAAGATCTGGGTCTGGAATGTGCTCAACTTAAAAGCAGCCAAATGCAGCCCCAGGAATTCCCAAGTCCAGAGACTACAGAACAGTAGTAGCTTTCACACAGATTGAAAACTTCACTGCCTTTAAGAGATCAGAGCATTTGAGGGCCTCCTATGTAGAAAACACTTTTTAGGCATTATTTTAAATTCTTAAAATAACCTATACAACAGATAGGCATTATTTAGAAATGAACAAACCAAAGCTTACAGACATTAAAAAACTTGACTTGAGGCCACAATATTATTGAAAGCTAAAGTTGCAATTCAAATTCAGTTCCATGCTGCTTTCACCTCAACCCCCTGGCTCCTAGCAGAAGAGTTACCAAACAGCAAGAGCATTCTCAGAGAATCTGGGCTTTGAGGATCCAGAGGTGAGCCACCAGGAGACCTTACTTACAAACTAAATCCTTGTTCTTTTAAGGCTATGCCACACCTCTTCAAACAAGACAGAATTCACACACCTTTCCAAATAAGGGTGTGTGTATGTGTGTGTGTGTGTGTGTGTGTGTGTGTGTGTTGGTGGCAATGCCAGCTGCCTCATTCATTCTGTTTCTTGTCCACTTACAGAAGAGATCCACCCCCAAAACAGAGTCTAATTTCCTCCCTTACAGACCTTCCACAGTGGGAGTAACTTCAAAAAACCAAGGAACGACTGTAGTTGAAATTGTAGTGGCCAGAGGCTGCCATCTTCTTGATAGCTGAGTAACACCAGAAACATCAGACCCAGGAGAGAGGTCCTCTTTTTCTTCCTCAGTCTTGCCACTGTCTCTGATAAGCTCGAGGGGAGCAACCTCCTCTTGCGTCACCACGGATAAGGTGGCATCCGGCTCTTGAACAGCTGTTGTCATTTCTTGAGTGATGATGTCTTAAAGGGGGGAAAACATTTTAAAATAGACCAAATCCCTATTTTTTTAAACATCACAATATAATTAATAAACTGGGGGGCAGGGAGCAGATGTTATTTCAGGAACAGGAAAAGCAAAGAGAGAACTCAGAAATAAAATGACAGTAAATAAATGTTTTCTCTGTCACTGCTTTCAGTAGTTGTGAATCAGTCTGCAACAGAGATAAAGAAGCTCATGTAAAAAACTCAAATGAAATCTCAAACAAATTAGGAAGATCAATGGCTGAGCTCCCTTTCAGGCATATGTTTGAATGTCAAGATAATCAGTTTGTTAAGAAACTAAGTTATACAGAACTAAGTTACACTCAAAACTTCTCAGAAACATTTGTATACAATACATTAATTATCACATTTGCATTTCTGGAGGGTCAAGAGAAGCTAGCATTTTAAAATAAAGAAGCAATAATTACAATAACTAATTGAGTTTCTATGATGTGCCATAAACACCATGCTAAGTGCATGGATACAGTATCTCATGCATCCTCCTATATGTACTATGGAAAAATAGGTACTAATACCATTCCATGGAAGCAATATCACAGAGGTCAAGAATGCAGGCTCTAGAGCCAACCTGCCTTACTTAGTCACTTTCTAGCTGTGTGATCATAAACCAATTATTTTCGCATATGTTAGCCTTGAGTTTCCTTGGCTATAAAATGGAGATAATAATAGTATCTATCTCATAGAGTTCCTACAAAGATTAAATTCGATAACACAGGTAAAACACCTAGTATTTGGTAAGTATTCAATAAAAAATCAGCTATTATTACTCCACTTTACAGAACTTAGGTTTAGAAAAGCTAAGGAGCCCGCCTTTGGTCACATAGCCGGCAGTCTTAACCACTGTGCTAACTATGATCAAGGAACAACTTGGAGATGCCTCTGTAGAAGATGTACATTTGCTTTTAGGTCAGAAAAGGAAATGAATAGAACGGTAGGGTATGACACGATCTGTCATACATCCACTTTCTTCACAACATTATAATTCCCTCAAATACAGTATTAAAGACTATTTATAATTATACTCTGGTTTCTCTTCAGATCATATAAATGTTTTGCCTTCTACAGACTACTTATAAGTCAAGATTTGCCCTCTTCTTATGCTAGAAATTTCAAACACTGTACTGAACAACTACTAAAAATATAATTTCTAGAAGACCTTATTGTCTCTCTTTTTAAATATTAGTTCTACATACAAAGTATTTAGCAAGCTCAGTAAGTCACACAATGAAAAAATTCTAGGGATAGCTTAAAAAACATTTCTCTAAGTTTTTATTAATGACATTATGGCATATCCTATTACTTTAAAAAATGTTGCCTTGAAAACAATGTATTTGCTTTAAAATAATGTCTATTTGTTTTTCACTATAAGCAGTTCCTTTTCTTGGTACTCATCCAGTTTACACTATTTTTCCTTTTGAATTGAAGAGATTTTTACATTTGATGGATTGATATATCTGGTTATAGGACAAACGTGAGTTAGGGTAAGGTTCTTACATGAGTTTCATATTTGTACTCTATACCATTGTTTGAGTTTTTTCTCTTTTTTCCTTTCTCCAATATTACTGTAAATCCCTTGAGAGCCAGGATTCATGGTCCTTCTGCACCTCTAGCACATAGGACAATGCTCTGTTTACCACAGGAACGCAATAACAGATAGTTCTACCATTTTAAGCAGTGGGTGTTTTCTAAATTGCCTTCATGTTTGAAAGCATAATGAACACTTTTGAGAACACATATGCAAAAATAAATATACAGGCTCTGTCTGCAGTTTTATGAAATAGCAAGAAACGTCAAAATGCATAGTATCTTGAATAAATAACTGCTGTTAGAGAAAGAAAAGTGAGAACTAGAAATAGTAATAAAAAATATTTAAATAACCTTTAAATTTTCCCAACATCTCTCATTCTTCCTACTTCATGTAGGAGAAAAAAATAATTATAGATTATTTTAGATTATTTTTAAAACCTGACCTTCAGTTGAAGCAGCTAACTGACTCAAAGGACTGGCTATAATCTCAACATATTCATCTGTAGCTAATATCCAAACACAACAAGACATTATTGCGTATTCTGAAAAAGATAATGTCCTACGTGGTCTCTGGACTCTAAATGATGAGCATTTGAGTTGTTTACTTCAGAAAAATACTTATGATCACCTGAAAACAAGTAGTGAAACATTTTGGCTATTCTATAACAACTGCTGTCAATAACTGAAATCTTTCCCATTCCTTTTAACTCTGTGGGACAAAAAAAAAAGTAAAGCAAAAGGAATAATCTGACTGTTCTTCTTGGTATTCTTGGTACAAAGAACATTTAGAAGTCATTTGATTATGGCTGGGCACGGTGGCTCAAGCCTGTAATCCCAGCACTTTGGGAGGCTGAGGCCGGTGGATCTCAAGGTCAAGAAGTCATTTGATTGATTTAGATAAGCTGGGCAATCACACTGGATAACTCCCATCTGAATGGTTCTCTATCTTCATTTGTTAATCCAATGAACAGATATTTATTAAGTACCTACTCTGTACCAGGAATAGTGCTATGTGCTAGGAATAAAAAGAAGTGGCCTGTTAAGGGATTAGTTTGCTGAGGCAATTATGACTAAGTACCATATTCAAAAACCAAAATAATCAGGAAATTACCAATTCCATTTTACTTCTTAGGCAGTATTAGTAGAAGCTAATACAAGTCTAGTACATAAGAATCATGGATTCAATTGCGTAATGAACAATCTGGGGCTATACAACTTAATGCCCAAAACTAAAAGTTCTATGAAGAACTGAAGTAAACTTGTTATTCAGTCATATCTAAGGTTTTCATGGTCATGTGAACCCAACTCCATGTAAAAACCAACTTACAAGACAAGTTATGGAAGCTTCTGTGAAAACTTAACAGCAAACTAGGTCTTTCAGTCTTTAAATAAAAATGAATTAGACAGGTAAAATTCAATTTGTGTCATTTATCAAGTGATCTTTCATCATTTAATTCAATCTCAATAACACCTTATAAAACGTATTACTGGTTCGATATTTTCCGTTAATTGGGCTACTTGGCTGAAGCAATGCGTTGTACATCTTCCAAAACAATTTGAAATGAGCATGTATACATTACACTAAGCTTTTCCTTCCCAATGTTGTCTGTCCAACTGCCCATAATAAAAGAAAATCATTATCCATCAACAGCAAATAGAAGGCTTTCCAGCTTATAATATTCACAAATGTTAAGGTTAAAAGAAAGTAGAAAATGCAGAACCAAGCAAGCAGATAATTTATCTCTCCTGCCCCCCCGCCACACACACCCCACTTGTTTCTAAATGTTTTCTTTTTAGGAAAACAAAATTAGAAAATCAAATTCATATGGTTAATACTATGAGACAACTACAGTACTTACCTAAAGTTTTTTTTTTGTAAGAAATATAAGGGACGTTAGCATATTTTACAACTATGTGTATATAACTATTCAACATTTTTTATTACAGTTTAAACATATAGCTAATTCTTTCACATTTTCTTATATATTTATATATTTTCATAGTAAAATGTTTAAAAAATATTAGTGTAAAATAAAAATAACAGTATAGGAGGTTCTTAACCTCACAGCTTTTAGCATGTTGGCTAGAATAATTATTTGTTCTTGGGGACTCTCCTATGTATTCTAAGATATTTAGCAATATCCCTGGCCTCTACCCACTAGATGCTAGTAGCACCCCTCAGTTCTAACAACTAAAAATGCCTCCAAACATTGCTAAATGTCCCCTGGGCAAAGGGGAAAGCAAAATAAAACTGTCCCCAGTTGAAGACCACTGGTCTATAGGCAGGGTTTATATTTGGGTGTAATTATTTCTTTTTTTTTGAGAGGGAGTTTTTTTCTTGTTGCCCAGGCTAGAGTGTAGTGGCACATCTCAGCTCACTGCAACCTTTGCCTCCCAGCGTCAAGCGATTCTACTGCCTCAGCTTCCCCAGTAGCTAGGATTACAGGTGTGCACCACCACACCTAGCTAATTTTGTATTTTTAGTAGAGACAGGGTTTTACCATGTTGGCCAGGCTTGTCTCAAACTTCTGACCTCAAGTGATCTGCCTGCCTCAGCCTCCAAAGTGCTGAGATTACAGGAATTGGGTATAATCTTTACATAAAATAGATAATGTATTTGTATATTTCTTTATTTTTTTAATTTCATCTTTTTATTCTTTCTTTAGAGAATAGATCTCACTATATCACCCAGGCTAGTCTCAAACTCCTGGGCTCAAGCAATCCTCCCACCTCAGCCTCCCAAAATGCTGGGATTACAGGCATGAGCCACCAGACCTGGCCTGCTTTTCATTAAAATGTCAACCTATTTCTAAATTGCAATTTAAAAAAACAAACTGAAAGGTTCCAAATTAAATCAAAGCCTGTTTTTCTTTTCCTTTCTTTTACCTTTCATTGTATTTCCCAACAGTTGGTCTGCCTCCAACTCATATTCTGAGACAGAAACAGTGGTTTCTGAGAAAAATAGGGTATCGTTTTCCTTGGTGGATTCTGTGAAGTCTCCTGTACTTTGGAGCAAGTTCACAACGGAAACTTTCGTGTCTTCCATCACACTCGTGGGGGTAAAGGAACTCTGATCAGTGAAGGCAGGTGATCTCTCATTCCCATGCAGTATTAGCAGGGCTGTGCCCGTGTGTGTTTCCCCTTCAGGCAGCCCCAGAACGACTTCCAGAGCCTCTGTCCAAGACTGGCCCCCTTCCACACCCTCATGGCTTACTTGTGCTGTCTGAGTCTCCATTCTCACCTGAGTCTCTGCATTGTCTCTAAGCTTGGGGGTCCCTGTCTGGCTTACACTCTCTAATTTGGTGTCATCCCACTCGCCACTTAAGGCAGAGGTAGCTGGAACAGCTGTGCTGGCACTCACTGTGACTTCTGAGGCTCCCAGCAGACTGTCAGTTTCTGGCTGAACACTCAGGGTGTACTCTGAAGTTGTGAGTAGTTGCCTGCTGGCAGCAGCCTGGGTGTTATCACCTGTCATTTGCAAAGGCTTCTCCTTATCAGGTGGGAGGTTTCCAGGCTCAGTGCCTGCTGGGGACTCAGCATCAGGAAAAGAAGTTGTCCTGTGGTCTGTGTCTGCTTCAAATTTCTCAGTCCTCGGATTGGTGGTAACCATTTCCTTAGTATTCCCATAGGATGAAGGTGAATGTCCCAAACCAAATCCTTCCTGACTTTCAGTTGTAAATGATTGATTATCCATATACTTCAGAAAACCTTTGGGGGCTTCTGTAGTCTCTTCTACAATGGGCTGAAAGTTAGTGCTTGTAAGGAGTTCCTGCTTTTCACCAATAGTCAGAGAAGCACTTGCAGTGATAGCAATGGTTAACATGGACTTGGAAAGTCCACTTTCAGGAGATATTCCCTCTGGCTGGCTGGAACCAAATACTTCTTCACCTGCTGGGACAGCTGACTCAGTAGCAGTGGAAACACCAGGGCGGTCAGTCTGCATGAGCGCAGCGCGTCCAGGCTGGGTTTCTTTGTTAAGCGAGAATGCTTTACTTAACGATGTTGCTGATGGTCCTGCTGACACCATCATTGGATCTTCAGAGACCTCCAGTTGGGGAGTCTGCTTTGAGGTAACGGAGCTGTTTTCTAGGTCATCAGTGTTCATCTTATCAGACTGCCCTTTTTCTGCATGAACGTGTGTTATCTCTCTCCTTTCTATTTTGGGGAAGGCCAGACATTGTGTGGCAATGTTGAAAAGTAGAAGGCTACAGAAAGCCAGACAAATGTGCAATACAATTGGTCCACTCATAATGGAAGAGAAATGGCACATGCACTGGCAGAGTTGACAAGTCCAATAATTTAGTCCTGCAGAAAAAGAAAGCACATCAAACTGTCATATAAATACATTTTGTAAATAAGTCTCTTTAACTTAAATCATAAGTAAAATTATCTCCTTGACTTTACAACACACAGAGATGGTAGGTAGGAGAGGGCTGTTCTATTTCTTTGTACCTTTGAGACAGGGATAACCCAGTTCATTTTTCCCTGCTGAATTTTGCTGATTTAACTTGAAGTTCCCTAGAAAAAAGGTACACATAATTCAAGTGTTAAGTTCATTGTTTCTTAAATACCTACATGAAATAAATTACCCTTGAAGTCACATTTGCAATATTCTCTCCAAATTCCTCTATTAATCACATAGTCAAATGACTGTAGAAATAGCAACATGTCGAAGAAATAAAAAGTCTTACACATTCATTCAAATAATGTTTTAAGTGTTGCCATGGTCTGAATTTTGTGGCCCCCAGAATTCGTATGTTGAAACCTAATAAGCAACACGGTGGTATTAGGAAGTGAGGCCTTTGGGAAGTGATAACTTCATGAGGGCAGAATCGTCGTGAATGGGATTTGCGCCCTTATAAAAGAGCCCCTAGGAGGCTCACACCTGTAATCCCAGCACTTTGAGAGGCTGAGAAGGGTGGATCACCTGAGGTCAGGAGTTCGAGACCAGCCTGGCCAACATGGTGAAACTTTCTTTACTAAAATACAAAAATTAGATGAGAGTCGTTGCAGGTGCCTGTAATCCCAGCTACTCAAGAGGCTGAGATGAGAGAACCACTTGAACCCGGGAGGCAGAGGTTGCAGTGAGCCAAGATCGTGCCATTGCACTCCAGCCTGGGCAACAAAATCGAAACTGTCTCAAAAAGAAAACCCCGGGCCAAGGCCAGCAGACCACTTGAGGTCAGGAGTTCGAGACCAGCTTGGCCAACATGGTGAAACCCCGGATCTCTAATAAAAATATAAAAATTAGCCAGGAGTGGCGGCACAAGCCTGTAATCCCAGCTGCTCAGGAGGCTGAGGCAGGAGAATCACCTAAATCTGGGAGGCACAGGTTGCAGTGAGCTGAGATCATACCACTGCACTCCAGCCTGGGCAACAGAGTGAGACTCCATCTCAAAAATAAATAAATGAAATAAATAAAAAATAAGAGGACCAGGTGCGGTGGCTCACGCCTGTAATCCCAGCATTTTGGGAGACTGAGGCAAGTGGATCACCTGAGGTCAGGAGTTCAGACCAGCCTGGCCAACATGGTGAAACCCCATCTCTACTGAATATACAAAAAAAAATTAGGTAGGCGTGGTAGCGGGCACCTGTAATCCCAGCTACTTGAGAAAGGAAAGGTTCAAGAAGGAAAATCTCTTGAACCTGGGAGGCAGAGGTTGCAGTGAGCTGAGATCACACCACGCACTCCAGCCTGGGTGACAAGAGCAAACTCCATCTCAAAAAAATAAAAAATTAAAACAAAATAAAATAAATAAAAGAGACCCCAGAGAGCTCCCTTGCCCCTTCTACCATGCAGGACACAGTGAAAAGTTGCCTTCTCAGAACCAGAAAGTGGCCCTAACAAGACATCAAATCTACTGACACCTTGATCTTGGACTTCCAGTCTCCAGAACTTTAAAAAAGAAACTTCTGCTGTTTTAAAAATCCAGTTTATGATATTTTGTTATAGCAGCCCAAGTGGACTAAGAAAAGCATGCTTGAAAACACTAAATATCATCATTAAATGCTGAATACCAGTTACTTTCAAGAGTTTTTTTAAAAGTAGATATATAATTTTCAATGAAAATATGTTTTTTAAATGCTTAAACCCTTGATATTCTCTGCAACAAGTATAAAAATTATAGGCAAAACATATTTCAAAATGTAAGGATTAGAAAATGTTTAAGAGTTAAGCAAGGTTAACAGTTTCAGAAAAAAATATATATTTTAAAATTAGTAGCCTTTACTGAATGCCCATTATTATAAGATAAAAAATTATTGTAGTACTTAAAATAAACTACTCACATTCTCATTACAACTAAAACTATATTAAAATTGTTTATTTTCCCCCAAATTTAAGGGGTTCAGTTCTTTTTTTATTTATTTTGCTGAGTAGGGCCCTTTCTTTCCCCTCATCAGAAATTTCTCAGAGATGCTACAAGTTTTCCAGAAAATTAAACCTCGAAACTAAAACTCTAGAATAAAAACCTTGACTTTATAAAGGTTACATGTTTTTTCTTTCATATATAATCATTCAATGATCTAAGTTAAGCAAATGATGTGCACATGTGAAATACAGACATTTATTTTCATAGGGCCTTCCTCCCTTAAGGATTTTCAAAGCTTCCATGTGTTATCTCATTTAGTCTTATAGGTCCTTTCAAGGAAGAAGAAAGGTAAAGTTCTCGAGACATGATCTACACAGCTAAAGACACAAAGAAGACTGAATTTTCCTTTTTCTTTTTTGAGATGGAGCCTCATCCTGTCGCTCAGGCTGGAGTGCAGTGGTATGATCTCAGTTCACTGCAACCTCTGCCTCCCCAGTTCTTGTGCCTCAGCCTCCTGAGTAGCTGGGACTACAGGCATGCACCACCATGAACAGCTAATTGTTGTGTTTTTGTTAGAGACAGAGTTTCACCATATTGGCCAGGCTGGTCTTGAACTCCTGACCTCAAGTGATCCACCCACCTCAGCCTCCCAAAGTGATGAAATTACAGACGTGAGCCATTCTCCTATCCCCTTCCCTCTCCTCCCCTTCCCTTTCCTTCCTTCTCTTTCTTTCTTTCCCCAGGCTGGTCTTGAACTCCTGAGCTCAAGCAACCTTCCTGCATCAAGATCCTAAGTAGGTAGGACTACAGGCATGCACCCCCACACGCCACAAGAAGACTGAATCTTTCTACATGAGAAAAAAAGGAATCCATGGATTCAGAGCTAAGGCTTCCTACCAACTACTATCACCAGATGAGTGTACCATCTTGGAAATGGGTCCTGCAGCCCCAGTCAACCCTTCAGATGACTGCACCCCTGGCTGACATCTTGACTACGCTTTCCTCGTGCCAGAACCACACAGCTAAGTTACTCCCAAATTCGTGATGCATAGAACTGGTACAAAATAACAAATATTTATTGTTATTTCAAGCCACTAAGCTTCGGGGTAATTTGTTGCACAGAGTCCATGATGCTTCAGGGAAATATAGGGATGGAAAGGTACCATGAGTGAAATGGTGTCATGTGCAGAAAAAAAAAAAAAACAGCATATCAGGGATTACAAATTTAGCAGTAGAAGAAAATTGAAGCCAGAGATGACTGGAAGAAATATAAGTCCCTCAGGAATCTGCAAGGATAGTAAGAGGGATGCTAAGTTTCCCCATATACAGATGGGGGTTTGAAACAAACATGTCTAAATATGAAATTACATACTGGTAGCTAGCATTGTTTTTGTTTGTTTTTGAGGTGGAGTCTCACTCTGTTGCCCAGGCTGGAGTACACTGGTACAATCTCGGCTCACTGCAACCTCCCTCACCTGGGTTCAAGCAAATTCTCCTGCCTCAGTCACCCAAGTACCTGGGATTACAGGTGCCCACCACCACACTTGGCTAATTTTTATATTTTTAATAGAGATGCAGTTTCACCACGTTGGCCACGTTGGTCTTGAACTCCTGACCTCAAGCGATCCACCTGCCCTAGCTTCCCAAAATGCTGGAATTACAGGCCTGAGCCACTGTGCCTGGACCCCCCCACCTTTTTTTTTTTGAGGTGGGGACAGAGTCTTGCTCTGTCAGCCAGGAGGCTGGAGTGCAGTGGTGTAATCTCAGCTCATGGCTGCCCCCACCTCCCAGGTTCAAGCGATTTTCCTGACTCAGCTTCTCAAGTAGCTAGGATTGCAGGCACCTGCCACCACACCTGGCTAATTTTTGTATTTTTAGTAGAGATACGGTTTCACCATGTTAGCCAGACTGGTCTTGAACTCCTGACCTCAGAGGTAATCCGCCTGCTTCAGAGCCTCCCAAAGTTCTGGGATTACAGGCATGAGCCGCCAGGTGCAGCCACATTGTTGTTGTTGTTGTTGTTTAAAGAAAAAATGGCAAAGATAGTTGATCAACAAGAAATAACATGTGCCACAGCATTTCAACATTCTGGACATTAATTATCACTGTACTTTAGATAGCCAGGAAGCACTCTAGTTCATAGTCAGGTAAGAGATCACTGAATTTGGCTTGATGCATCTATTTGCCTTCCTTAAAACAAAAAATAACGAAGGGGCCGCCAGGTGCTCAGGCCTGTAGTCCCAATACTTTGGGAGGCCAAGACAGGGAAATCATCTGAGCCCAGGAGTTTCAGACCAGCCTGAGCAACATGGCAAAATCTAATTCCTACAAAATTAGCCAGGCACATGCCTGTAGTCCCAGCTACTAAGGAGGCTGAGGTGGGAGAATCACCTGAGCCTGGGAAGTCCAGAATGCAGTGAGCCATGATCACACCATTGCACTCCAGCCTGGGCGACAGAGCAAGACTCTGTCTAGAAAACAAACAAACAATAACAACAACAAAAAACTATATGGTAAAACACAATATTCACAGTCAATGAAATTATACCTTTGGATTTCTGTTCAGACAAATTGACCTACTAAATTCTATCTCTGTAGTTGAAGAATCATAAAAGCTATATAACTCTCTGGCTCATTTCTGATCTGTTCAGATAGCTGCCCCTTCCTAAACACTTTCTCTATTCAGTGGAATCTTACTAAACATACCAGAAGACAAAACATGTAGCCTAAAACCTTGGACCACATGATCCCACACTTCTGAATAAAAACCTGAAAATCCCAGGCCATCATGAATGGTAACAGAGTTTAGAGGGACTTGGACTAGCATCAGAAAAAAAGATTCCTGAATCTTAGCTTTGTTGATGTTTATATTTGCTATATGATACTGAGCAAGTGGTCTCAGTTTCTCCTTTGACAAAACGAGGAATTAAAATAATCATTGAAATCCCTTCTACATCCATGATTTTATCCTCAGACCTCACCGATATGACATAA